CCTGCACGGGGCCACCAGGGTGGGTGCGCACGCAGTCAGCACCCTGCGGAGGGGGGGAGGCAGCTCAGGGGCTCTGCCTACACCATCCATGGCCAAGGACGGGGGGGCCATGGGGGGCAGGAGCCTTCCCCAGGGCAGTGGGACCCCTGCGTGCTGGGGACCCCCACAGGGAGCAGCCCTGCAGCAGGGAGGGGGGGTCCCTTCCCCAGCCAGAGCCAGGGACACTCACACGGTCGCCTTTTTCCCCCTTGCTGCCAGCGGTGCCGGGGAGGCCGCGCTCGCCCTTCCCGCCCTGCAAGAGAGGGGACATGCAGGTGACAAGAGGGGACACGTGTGTCCCCATGGCCACGCGTGTGCCCACGGCTCCCACACAGGGATGCTCCAGGCACAGCCGAGGGGCTGTGTGGCCACGTCCCTGCTGGAGCTGGGCTCTGTGTGTCCTGGGGGGGTGACAAACCTACCTTGGGACCCGGGGGGCCGAGCGTGACCTGAAGAGAGAGGAGAAAGGTGTCCCAGAGCCCCTCAAGGGCATGCTGCCTCCAAACAGTCCCCACCCTCCTGGGTGCCACCCCGGGAGCCCCATGGGGCATGTGGGGTCCCAAACACCCACCAGCTCCCACCATCAGCTCCACACCTCAGCCAGAGGTTACCAGAGGAACGGGGCCACATCTGGAAGGGATCAGAGACCTTCCCCACAGCCAGATGTTGCCGGGCCCCAGGCCAGGAGGAGCTGCAGGTTGTGGGGGGCTGGTGACGATGGGTGACACCCCCAAGCCAGCACCCCGGTGGCTTTTGCCATCCCCATCTCCCCCTGCCCAGTGCAGGACACTCACATTTGCTGAGGCCATCTGTGGCGAGCAGGGCGGGCACTGGAAGAGACGGGGACAGCGGTTTGCACCGTCCCCAGCACCCACAACCCCACGGCACCCACAACCCCATGGCACCCGCTCCCTTGGGCACCCCAAACCCATGGGGCTCACCCAGTAGCACCTCTCCCCGCCAGCCCTGGGGTGCCTGTGGGCACAGGGGGATGCCCAGGGCGGAGAAGGGAAAAGCCAGGAGAGCATTTCCCTGCCGCCGTGTCCCCGGGAGGTGAGGAGAGCACTGGCCTGGCCCCCGGCTCTCCCTGCGTCTTTGTGGCTTGACCACAGCTCCACTGGTCCAAACTGGCAGCTCCAGCCCGATACCCTGGGACCGGGGCCAGGCAGGACGGGGCTGCCCACACCCTGCACCCGGGGACTGGTGTCAGCAGGGTCCCCGGGGCTCCCACCCACACCTCAGCCCCTCGCTGGGTGTCCCCAGCTGTCTGGGGGGGGACCCTGTCACCCCACAGGGAAGCAACAAGGAGCAGAGGGTGAGAAGAAAAGCCAGGCAGGCTCGTAATCCCCGTGGCCCCCAAGCCACTCTGCTGGACCTGGCTGACACCCCGGGGATCCCCTTGAGGATCCCACCACGGGGTCACAGCAGCCCCGGGGGGACGGGGCCACGCAGGGACGGGGCCCAGCATGTGCTGGAGACATTTCCCAGCTCCAGCAGCCGCCGGAGACGCTCAGAGGGAACAAAGAGGCCCTTGGCCACGGCTGGGATCGCTCCAGCAGTGGTGGAGAGTTAAGTGGGGCCTCAGTTCCTGCTTGGGGGGAGTGGAGCAGCCGCTTCGGCAGGCGGCCCTGCAGCTCTGGCAGCAGCAGAAAGTTCCCGAATGCAGCGGGGACAGACCCAGCCTGGGGCACGGACGGGTCCCCGGCACGGCCCCGGCGCTGGTGGGAGGGAAGGGACCGGGGCCAAGTGGGCAGGGACGGGGGCAGCCGGGCTGGGACACCCTTCCCCACCTCCCCTCACCTTCTCCCTGTGATCTCCCTGCGGGCCAGTCCTCCCCGAGGTCCTCACTGGCTCCTGTGGAGAGAAAAGAGCACCCATGGGTGCTACCTGCCTGTGCACCCCTGAGTTACCCTGCCTGTGCACCCCAGGGTTACCCTACCTGGGGCACCCATGGGTGCTGCCTCCCCTTGCACCCAGGGGTTACCCTGCCTGGGTGAGACCTGCCTCAGGCTGAGGCGGAGGCTCAGCCTGCGCAGACCAGCAGTGGGGCTGCAGGAGCCCTCCCCTCCCTCGCTCCCCGGCGTCTGGCTGCTGCCAGCTCCCTCCCTCCCCTCGCACCGAGCCTGGCGCGGTGGAAAATGTGAGGCCGGGCTTTTCCAGTGCCTCAGTCAACGTGGCTGCAGGATCAGCAGCGCCGGGCACCCAGCACAGAGGCTGAGTGCTGCCCACCCGTGGGGCCAAGATGGAGACTGGGACGGGGATGGGATGGGATGGGGACCTGGATGGGGACCCGTGATGGGATGCGGGAGCTCACCGCGCCCAGCGGCTCCTCCAGGCAGAAGCAGCGGGTGTACACCCGGCCCTCGGGCTGCGGCGAGATCTCGATGAGGTTGCTGCTCTGCATCAGCTCCGCTTGCCGACGGGTCTTGGGCGCTTCTATGAGGCACTGCTGGGAGAGAGGGGGGTCACTGGGGGCTGCCGGGGTGAGAAGCGGGAGCCCCAGCCCTGCCTGAGCACCCAGTGTGATTCAGGAGAGGGATGCCTCCTGCACCCACACTGGCCATGGGGACAGGCATCAAGAGACACCCCGGGGCTGGGAGAGAGCTGCCCTGTGTCCCCAGCCACCACGAGCAGGAGGTGACCCCCAGGGGAGCTCTGGCTAAGAGACCTGCCCTCACCATGCCTCAGTTTCCCCTCTGGAGAAACCCCTGACTGGGCAGAGCAATGCCAAGGCCCAGGGAGGTGGCGGCGGCGGGGGGGACACTCACCCCACTGTCAGAGATCTCGCAGCACCCCTCCTGCCTGGCCAGCTCGGCATCGCAGTAGATCTGAGCTTGCTGGATGTCGAACTGCAGCGGGAAGGGGACGGCAGGTCACGGGCAGGCAGGGACGGATCCTGCACCCCAGGCTGGGAATACCCGCACCCCCCCTGCACTCACCCGCATCGGGGTGCCGCGCACGGCATCCAGCCCCAGGAAGGCATTGCCCTCGGGGGCCAGCGCCCGCCGGGGTGCCAGCGGCTTGGAGGAGATGGAGGCGCAGTCGAGGTGGATGGAGACGGCGCGGCTCTGCACGGCCACTGCCACCTTGTGCCACCGCCCATCAAAAAGGGACGCCACGGCCTTTCCCCCGAAGACGGCGCTGACAAACGCGGCCCCCGGCGCCCTGGCCTGGAACTCCAGACTCTTCTCGGGGCCATGCACAGCCAGGGAGAGCTGGGCACAGAGGGGACAACACCGCGCTCGGGTACAGCTCCCAGCTGGCCCCTCTCCACTGGTTTGTCCCACCACTCCAGGGCGGTACCTGGGGGTAGCCCTGCCGGTCGGTGACCTGGAAGAGGTACCAGTGCTCCCCGGTGCTGTTCTTCTTCAGCAGCAACGTGAGGATGAGGGTGAAGGCGGGGGGTAGCCCACGGGGAAACACCTGCCTGGGGGGACAGGCGTGGGAGCTCTGATGCCGGCGCTTGCACCGAGGCTGGTGGCAGCACTGGCCCCAACACCCCCATCCCCATGGCACCCGCTGGCAGCGTCACCCCCCCAGTCACTCGGGGTCTGTCCCCATCGGTGGCACCGCGGATGCCACCGGGGTGGATCCGGCCCCAGGTGGCAGCGCCTGGACCTGGAGCTGTTTGTGTCTGGGCCGGACGCGCGGGCTGCGGCCGCCGGAGACGCCAGCGCTTATGCAACAGGAGCAGAACACGAGGCAGACGGCAGAGACGCTCCCTCCCATCCTGGCACAGCACGGGGAGCTCGGACCGTCCCCCCAAAGCGCAGGCTGGGCACACACATGAGGTGGAGAGGACCCAGCCCAGCTCTCCCCAGGCACCCCCAACCCCATCCCTGCCCCATGGCACAGCCACCGCCTCCACCGCACCCCCCAAACACCCTCCTGGGGTGGCTGCAGCACCCGGGGCTGTGCCCTTATCACCACAGGATGGAATTTTGCCCCTGGGCAGCTGGGAAATGAGTCCCTGACCACACAGGCTCCATGGGATGGACGCTCCCACGCAGGCAGTGGGCAGCCTGGTCCCCTCCATTCCCCGATGGGACGGTGCCCACCTCGCCCGCAGCCCGCTCCACCACTGGAAATATTTGCTTTGGGCTCTGCTCTGCTCCCAGCCTCGGCTCCACCAATTTTCCAAGCCACTGCTCTGGAGCTGGCCCAAGGCAAGAGGAGCAGGCAAGAGCCAGCGGTCCCCTCCGCCCTCCATGAGGCACAGGGATGTCCTTGCTGGGCACCGAGGAGCGGGGCCAGGGTGGAGGAGCACCCATGGGTGCTCACGACCTGGCTGCCGGGGCCACCCCCATGCTGAGCACTCCCCTGGGCTGGCTCTGGGCTGCTGCAGGCACCCAGCCAAGAGCAACACCAGCCCAGAGCATCCGCCATCTCGAAACCATCTAAGGACTTGGCCGCCCAGGCTGGGTCTCCTTCGGCCTCGGGAGAGCCCCGTGCCCAGTGTAGCTGCGTGCCAGCCCCAGGGTGATGTGGGGACAGGCAGGCCTGCAGACCACAGCAGCTTCCTCCAGGAACAGCTCACGAGGACCATGGACTTGCTCCCACCGTGCCACGCTGCAGCATCCCTGCCAGCACCCCCCGCCAGCCCCTGCCCCTCGGGCAGGATGTGCCGGAGATGACGGTGGGGCCGAGGGCCGGACTCTGTGAGCCTCCCCCGGCAGACCCCTGCGGCCCCAGCAAACCCAGCAGCGCCTGCTCGGAGCTGGGCAGCATTTTGAGTTTGTCTAGACCCCGGCAAGCGCCTGCCAAGCTGAGGAGAGCAGACACAGAGCAGCCACAGAGCCGCGGTTGCGTAAGGGCTGGCCGCGACCCAGCCGAGCTGCTGCTGCCCATGATTTACTTTCTAGGAGGAAGGTGCCCCGGGGCAGCACCACCCGCACCTCCGTGGGTCCCCCCCCCGGGTGCTGCGGAGCTGCCTGGCCTCTCCAGCACGAGCTACAGGCAAAGCTTAAAGAGCTTCATCCAGGCCCCATCCTTAAAAGACGTGGGGACGGTGCCCGGTGGTGCTTTGGCAACCAAGAGCCAACCCCACGAGCCACCTGCACTCACTGCGTGGGCTGGACCAGCGGCACGGCCCCCAGCCGCAGCACCAGCGGCCCCCTCGGGTTGCGGATTTTCTTGACGGAGGAGATCTTCAGCAGGTCAAACCTTTTAATCAGGTTAAAACCTGCAAGGACAGAGCAGAGGAGGTGAGACCTGGCCCTGGCAAGGGCGCCGAGGGCTGACACTCTGCAGGCAGGACGCAGAGCCCATCCCCGGGGAGTCGGGGCCGTGCAGGGACCCCAACTGGGGGGCGAGGGGGGCGTTTCCTTACCCGTTACATTCTCATACTTGTCCCCAACCAGATCCTCGTCCCAGAGCTGCGGGCACAGCTCCCCTGCAAGGTAAACCAGCGCATCACCGCGGTGGCCCCGAGGACAGGGGAAGGCTGGACAAGTAGGGTTGGACCATGCAGACCCCCCTCAAGCCCCGGTGGGTCTCGGGGTGCTGCTGGGAGCTCACTTCGCCCCCCCCCCTCCCCGACACGCCGAGGCCGCTGGCAGCCACGGGGCAGCACGGATCCAGCAACCGCCGCTCCCACGGCAGCAAAGAGCCCGCCGGGAGCGAAGCAGCAGGTTTGGAAGGGATGGGGAGGGGGTGAGCTCAGAGCTGGCTCCGGCCGCCTCCCACAGCAAGTTCACCAGGTGAAAAATGCTTTTCCCAGTTGCTGCGTGTTTTGCCTCAAAACAGCCTCGCGGCTGGAATCAGCATCAGGAGGCTTGGCCGGGTGCCACGGACACCCAAGGTGGGGAGGTGGCACCCAGAGCTGCCCGTTGGCCTTCCTGCCCCATCCTGGTGACATCCTCAGGCCTGGTGGCCCCTGGGGACAAGCAGGAGAGGCCCCAGACAGGGAATAGCGGGAGGCTGAGCCCCAGGAAATGCCGTGTCAGTCGTGATTACAGGGATGCTGGTGCTGTTTGTCACTGCGCTGATAAATTACCGCTTCAGCAGCATCAATCCACCTCCGCTGGATGCTACCAGATGTTGGGAGGTGCAAGACAGAGGAGGAAACAAGGGGGTATTGAAAGAAGAATTTGTTTTGTCTCTGTGCACACCAGCTCTGGAGCAGGGATGGCCCTTGATGAGTCACTCGCCTCTTCCCCAGCCCTTGGCCATTCCCGGGGGGTGGCTCTGGCCCCACTGGCCACCTCCACCTCTGCCCGAGAGCCCGGCCTCACCGCAGCACTTCTCCCCCAAGCTGACCATTTGCTCGCACAAGGCCAGCAGCAGTGCAGGGAGGTGCCCCTCGCCCCCGGGACCCCCAGCACAGTGGCAGCAGTGTCGCAGCAGGGGCAGAGCTCCCTCCCGCCGGCGGTGAGATCATCCACAGCGGGACACGGGGCGGAAAACGAGGCATAAATCACCCCGGGTGCGATCTGCTTGGAAGCTTCTCCTGGCCCCAGCGCTGCCCCTAAGGGAAAACCTTGTCTCCCCAACTGTGGCTTCCCTAACAAAGGGCTGGGAGCCAGGAGCCCCCGGTGCTGGCCGCAGGGTCCCGAGCAGCCGGGTAGCCCCTGAGCCCCCCCGGGACGAGCCACCGCTCCACCCCCGCAAAGACTGATGCAACCACGGCTTCGCTGCCAGCGGCTCCTCCCCGCCATCCGCCTCGAGCTCACCCCGAGCTGCAGCCGGCCTCACGCCGGGACCCAAACTCAGCAGCCCCATGGCCAGGGAGGCCTCGGCGGGGACCCCCGTGAGCTCAGTGACCGTCCCCCTGTCCCCAGCTGCACGGGGACAGCCCCAAGCCCTTCACCGTTGGCATGAACCATGGCCAAACCCCACCTCGCAGCCAGAGGCCAAAACCCCGTCGGGAGC